GGAGGCGCGGCCCGGCCCGGCGGCGTGCGCCGGTCCCGAGGGATCACCGAGCCCGCCCTACTCCGGAGGGACCCGGCTGGTACGGGAGGAGGAGAGCCACGGGGCACCCCTGCTCAGGGCCGCCTTCCCCCCTCGTCCCCGTGCCCAAGGCACAGCGGGGCTGTTTTCAGGTCATCGAAGCTTCATAGATAGAACATTTTTTTTTTCTAGGGCGGTGGGCTATGGCCAGCTGGAGGGGAAAAAGCCCACCGCCCTATTAAAACACCATCATCCGGTTGGAAAAGACCTTGACGACCATCTCTAGAGTTCAACCATGAACCTCACACCGACCCTTCTCAACTCCACCACATCCACAAGGGCTTTATCAACCTGACTCAAAAAAAACCCAAAAAAACCAAAAAACACCAACACAGAGGCAGACCACTTGTAAACCGGCTCTTCTTCACCCCTGACTTCCATCTGCAAGCATTTAAATGTGAGGTTATTTCCTCAATGCTTCATTTCATGAGGAAAACCAGCTAGACACAGCGCAGTGTTGCAGCGTGTCCTCGAGGCCTGCCCCGGCTCACTGAGGTGGCAGGGCTGGTGGCAGCTGGCCTGCTCTGACCAGGAGGTTGGGAAAGGTGTCTGAGAGCACCACGGTGCTCATGCTCAATGTGCTCCTCCTCTGTGCTATGCTCACTCTTCCTCACTGGCAGGGGCTCATTTTTGTATCAGCACAGCTGATGACAAATTGATCCTTCTCCCACCAACTTCTCAGGTCCTGAATGCTCAGGGTTCAGCACTACCGGTGAAAGCAGCGTGCATTAGCTGCAGCAGCAGGACACAGAGCAGCTTTCCGTGTTGCCACCTCCTACCATCAGTGACCAAAGCCATTACTCTCATGCCCAGGATCCAGGAAGTGCAGTGGTGACACAACTAAGAAACCAGTGTATGTGCCCTCAAGACTCTTCCCCCAAAATTCCTGTGATGGTACACCTAATCTTCCAGATGAGCTCCCCAAGCATCCACCTGCCCTGCAGCCTGGACCTTACCTCCTCTGTCAGTCCAGGCTTGAAGCAACATCTGATTTGTCTTTCAGAAGGAGGACATGCATCAGGCAGCTCCTCTTCATAAAAGGACTTGAGGGAAAGTAGCAGGCTTCCACTAAGGCCTCGAACTTCCATATGGGTCCAGATGCAAAGAGTGCAAATCAGACTTTCCAGCTTCTATTGCGTTCAGCCAACACTTCCTGGCTCTCTTCTGTCTTGCTCTTCACAGAATTACTGCAGAGCCAACAGTCACAGAAAACTTGCCCCTACAGACCTGCCTTATTTCAGAACAGTACTCTAGTGACCCAGCTGTGGCCTGCTCTGATCTGCTTCCTACTGCAAGCAAGGCCATCATCTTTGCTTCTCTTTGCATATTGCTTTGTTACTTTCCCATTCTGACTCAACTCTGCATTTGATCCTCCCAGGATTAAGCTTTTGTGAATTCATCTCTGCACGTACCTCTCAGGAAACCACACAGATTCCTGAATTTCACACCTCCCTCAGCTCTATTTTCCTTCCCTATAAGGTAATCTTATTTCTCCTTGCTGCTTCAGCCTTGTCCTAAATCCCCCCCGGCTCCTCCTCCAAACTGTTCTCAAAATCCTTACCCCTCTCCCATTCTGTCTCCTTCCGCAGGCACATCTTTTTAAACAGTCTGGGAGGGTTTTGATTTGGTTTGGTTTTGTTATACCCATTTGTGATTCAGAAAGTCTTAACTCCTAACAAGGCCTTTAACACCCCAGCTCCTCCCCTTTTTCTTCCATTGCTCCAATTCAGTCCTTACAGACTCTAACGATGGATATCCATCCCTTGTATCCCTTGTGTCCATCCCTTTTGCTAAGAGCTCACAGCCACCTCATTTCTGTCTCCAAAGCTGACAGAATTTTTCCCCAGGGAAACGACTGCCTTATGGCTCATCCTCCATATCTGCCAGTGATCCCTGCAGGGCACCTGCACCCTTCTGCATCTAGCACACCATCAGGGCACACTAAATGCAGTGCCTGCTTAATGACAGTAGTTTCTGGTACAGACAAGAAAGTAACAGGCAAATTCCTTTGTCCTTAACAATAGTTATTAGACATATTAACAATTTTTAAAAAAACCTCGTCTACCATATTTATAACACAAATGCTATAGATTTAAAAACAACAAATCTTTGCTATCTGCTGTAACAAAAAAACATCCATTGAGAAGTTCTGCAATTTCTCTCATATTTTACATTAATCAGAATCAGTATTACTCAAGTTTAGCTGAAAAGCTTATCGGTGCAATCCTGATGAATCTTAGATACACTTAGTGAGCCATGTGCCAACCAAACTGAGTTTAACTTTTAAACTGTCATATTTAAACTGTCACGAAGTCAACTTTCATTATTGACAGCACTAAGTCCCCTGTAATTCAAGCCCCTCCCACCTCAGTTTCTTTTACAGTATCTTACCACTAATGTGAGTTTCCATTCTCACATCCCCACTCATACAGATTTCCAAATCACCCACTTGTCTATTTTTGCCACTTGGAGTATTTATCGTTTGTCCAAACGACACTACCATTTCCTTTCACTAGGCTCTAGGCTACGATACCAGGCGGCTTGCTTTAGCTAAGGAATTCAATCTGTGATTTTCAACTGTTCTCCAATGTTAAAAACAACTGTGAGCTTTCAGGTGATAAAGACCTGCCAGAGCTGAGTGGCAATCTGGGACATTGCCATCCCAAGGGTCAGACTGCAACAGGTAATTACTTACCTGTGTAAGAGAGAAAGAGCGTGCACAAGAGCAAAGTCAACTCTGGGAATTAAGAATCTCCCTCAGAGACAAGTGTTATAATAGTGGTCCACAGCCCTGCTGCAGTTAAACAGGCCGCCAAATCTCTCTGCAATTGTTCTCTTTAATTTCTCCCTTCCCCCAAGCAGATGCAGATGCAGGGCATGACTCCTCTGAGGTAGCGGATGAAGTACTGGCGCAGCCGTCATCATTCAGCACAGTCAAGGGAAAACAAGAGCCCAGTGTCAGAGCACTCACCAACCTGTCGTGGGCGAAGTCACAAGACGAGCTCTCTACTGAATTCCAGCAGAAGCAGAAAGATGCCCAATAGATCCAGAAGCTACAGCTGGACAGCGATGAAAGGATGATTCTGCTGATGAGAAGTCTCAGCTGCACACAGAGCCCTCAGAAGGAGGACAACATTTGAAAACCAGAATTTTCATTGATCCCCCTCGCACACACACTCCCCCAATCACCTGCTTTCGCTATTATCAGCTTCTAGGGAATAAAATCTATTTTCTCCCCCCAAGAGTTCCCAGGAGTTACTGTAAACTCACAATGCCACCTACTGACAATTAGAAACAGCAACGAGCACTTTCGAAATCCAGAGCAATTCAGGTTTTCCATGAAGTAATTTCCTCTCCATTTCCTTGTATTTATCAGCTGCTTTGATGGCTGAGTGCAAGTCTCCTAAATATTTGCTTCTAGTTAATATCTTTTCACCAGCTTTCACCTTCCAACGGTTATTCTTTCCACTTCTGAAATAGGGTGAAATTTCTTTCAAATTTTCTAAACTCTTTCAGGTCTAATTTGACAAAGAACAGCTAATCCCTCCCAGTTATGAGAATGGGAGGGATTAGAATGGAAGAGATTAGATGGGAGAGATAAGACTTGTCCTGTCGCAGGTAAGCGGAGAATGTCTCTTTACATATATAACCCACCTGGAAAACAAGCTTTAAATTCAGACATTTTAATGGCTGGATAACGTTTTTCATACCCTTAATAACCAATCCCTGAGCGCATTGGTTTAAATCAAAGAAATACAAACACTTCTGGAAGACACAGCACTGTAGTCGAAGCAGGCTCTGGGCCAGGGGGAGGGAATCAGCACCAAGATCACGGCAAACCAAACAAAACAGCCCTATGGTGTGTGAAAGGTGTCTGTAAGAATTAGGCCAAGGAAACTACTACCCAATTATGGGACCCTCGCACATTAACAAGATACAAATAGCAGAATAGGATTCACTTAGGAAGCTGATGCAGTATTCAGTCGGTTTTGCTGGATGGAGGTCAGTCATTCCGTATTTCTTTATTCTGAGCAGGTCACCAGGGAGAAGTGTCCATATTTGCATACAGCTGCAAGAATCAGACTGGAACAGAGCACCGTGGCAAGAAGAGTCACGACACACACCAACAAACTGTGTTGCCTGAGCCCCACTGGAACCTGTAGAATCAATTCCTCATACACCTACAAAGAAAAAATAAATGGATTACATGCATTTAACAAGCTATTTCTTTTTTTGACTGCAACTTAAAGGGTTAGTAACCAGACCACTGTTTAATTAGCCCTTTGCTAAGGCTTCTTCTGGGATTCAAAATCAAAACCAAGATGGACATCACAGCAAATGGAGCACCAGCCGCTCCCACAGTACAAAGCTCAATAAATTAACTGCTACCATTTTAAATGGTAGCCATTTCTATCCTCTGTATCTTTGTTCTTACAACAGTCTTACCATTGAGGATATGTACATAATACAGCATGAAAGAGAGAAGCTCTCAGAATGAGCATTTCTGGGATCACTAAGAAGCCAGCTTTCTCCAAAAAAACCTACTCAGTTTCTCTGTGATGCAGAAAGCTCCAAAATGTTTCCAGACAAGAGCTGCAGATACCCCAGCTGTCTGCAGGTATCTTAAATATAGGAAGGCACACGTGTTACAAAAGCAACAGATTTGTTATGAAACAAATCAGTCTTATTTCTGAATCTCTACACTACTGCAACCCTTTTGAGTATCAAAGGCAAGTTGTTGACCACACTAAAGATCCAACTTTCCCTGGTTTTGAACACAGAATAAAGAAACTTTACCTTTTCCTAGACACTTAGCCAATCAGATAACAAACAAACAAACAGAAATGGCCTTTTTAAAGATGCTATCTCTTCTATCTTCAGGGTGTTACCCCTCCTTTAGATAGATCATAAAGTAGTTTTCCACCTCGCTACTGCTCTGAAGCACTTATTTTGCAAAGACCTTTCTTTATTTGACCACTGCCAATTATATCCTGGAATTCCAAGAAAACTATTTAAAAAAAAAAAGAGGAGAACAGCTGCCATAAAGGACTAGAAGAGCACAGAGTGACTACAAGCACACCAGAAGGGCAGGATAACACCCATTAAAAGCTGCTTAGAAAGGAAGAAGGGAGCCTCCCTAAACAGGAACTAGTCTTTTACTGATTAATTCCTGTGCTATGGAAGCTGCTAATCACAGAAAAAAGCCAGCAACTGTTAAATGAGAAGCATGAATTCCCACCAGCATTGAGAACTCACAGGTTTGTGCATTACGCTGTACCACTGACAGGGGCCATCGGTTTTGCCTGAACAGGGAGCTTCCACTGCAGCAGGCTTCCAACACGCTGTTGAGAGGCCATCTATGGGAGACATTAATGCATCAGCAAGATCCATGCGGGATAAAACAATATCGCCAGCAAGAATTTTTCAAATGAGATATCTTTCCTCCACAACAACTCAACAGAATCTACTCCCTGAAAGCCAATAGGTTAAACAGCACTGAGAGAAATGTGCCAGTTAATCTGCACAGTCACGGGGTGCCAGGCAGTCCTTTCCATGAACTTTGCAACTCTTCCTGATACAGTAGGTACCCAAGAAAGACTCTCACCTCTGTGGTATCTTGGCCCTTCTGTCCTTAACAGGGCAAAGAATTCATCATGGGCCTCAACTTTAGCCATACAGTTATAATTTCTCTTCCCTCAAAACAAAGAAGTCATTCTTCCATTTCTTCATGTTGGCCTCCTGTTGGCACATGCAAGAACTCCCCTCCAATGCTTTAAAAGCTTGCATATTAATAATAAATATATTTCTGCTCATAAGTAGTAAATATGGCAGAAAAATGGGAAGAATTCCCATTCCTTTTTAATTGACCAGGCAGTGTTCTCTGCCCCTAAGTCTATCCCAGAGAATCACTGCTCAAATAATGCACAAGTGAAGAGAAAGGAGCTAAGAATCATGAGCACATTTGACTTAGCATCTAACAAGAATGATTTTGTGAAAGTAATTACGATTTGTAGCAAAAATGTAGGATTTCATCGTTCGTGTAATTTGAAATATTGTCAGTGGACATCAGGTTCTTGTTTCACAGTAGTCTGAGATTCCAACCCCTCTAATCTTCAGGCACACAGTTTTCTACATTCCCCCCTTATATGTAAGGAATGCAGAAAAAGTGTTAGAAACCATCAGAATACTCTGATTAAATATGTAATAGTGAATATTAAATACACCCTGCATGGCTTCAGCTGCCAAGAGAAACACTGTGAAAACAGTCTGAGCAGCTGACCTTTAACAAGCCAGGGCCTGCCAGGATTGTGACAAACTGACCAACTGCCAACACTTTCAGGCAAAAGAGCCCAAACAGCCTGCTACAGCACAAGGGTACAACAGCAGCAGCGCAACACCAAGAAGTCTGTTGACAATTAATCTGCCTTTGGTCAGGCAGCAGCAGCATTCAAAGAGGAAGACAACGTGGTCTTTTATCAGGGGCACTATCTTCCCCTCATGTTCACATGACTGCTCAGAGCTCCATCTCCAGAAGAGAAACACAGAACCAGATTCCATGCTCCGGATTGCCCACAGTTATTCTTCTCTCCCCAAAAGAGCAGGTAACAAGACTCTCACTGTCACAGCAGCAGACCAGTACTTCTGGGCTCTTCAGAACAACCAACGCTTCCTCAGTCTCTTCTGCTGGCCGGTGGTACCGCCCATGCACTGGCAAAGCAGCTCTAAAACAGCGAGAGCACTGAGGGTCGGGTTCCATGTACAGGAGAACAAGATGACCTGTGGCTAAGTACTCAGGAGCCTCCACATCAACGACATCAGGAATTAACACCACCTGCAAGTGGAGAAAGATACAGATGTGGTTTAGATCAGAATCAACACAAGGGAGGGATGCAGGGAGAAAAAAAAAAAAAAAGTGTGAACATTTTGTGCATGATTCTGGGATTGAAGAGGCCACTGTCTGCTGCGGTAATATACTGCAGCATCAGAAGGAAAAACTATTTTTCTCATTCTGTCGTCTAACACTGCACCTGATTTTGTGGTCAGGAAGATCAAGTTGGAAATACTGTCCTTAAGCTGTTCCAAAATAACTTTTCAAGTCTCTCTGCAGTGACCGATTCTTATGTGTAAAAAGTAAAAACCATGCCTACAGCCAAACCTCAGAGGAGTTAGCTTAATGATGTGTATTAGCACAGCCATATCAGCACCTGCAAGCATCCCAATAGCAAAAGTTGCCCAGAGTCTATGCATTCATATGTTTTAACTCAATTAATAGCCTAAGGAGATTACTTTAAAACCACAGCCTTAGCACGTCTCTCTACTCAGAATGCGAAGCAAAGACTGGAAAGAAACACAGAAAGCTGTGATGAAAACAACCCCCTGAAATGACTCAGTCCGAATGTGCAGGATGCTACTTAGAGCTCACCACCACCTCTTTTGTGGGGGTTCACCTTCCACCTTGTCAATGCAAACAGCTTTTACCATAGCTGCTCATCTAGGGCCGAGCAGAGTAGCAGGGGCTCCCTGGTACACATGTCTGTATTTAGAAATATCAGCAGCACATGACACAAAATGCCCTGCACGCAGCAACACTGATCAAACTGAGAGATGCAATGAGATGTCTTGAAGAGGATACTGTGCAGCATCTCCTTCCAGGGAACAGAATTAATCAGCTTGATTAACAAGTCAGATAATGACCAGAGATTACAACTTCCTGAGCATACTCGTCCTTATCTGACTAACTGCCAGATGTCTTAGCTTTAGGGTTGTTACCTTTGTTAAATTGTGTCGCTGCAGCGATGCCAGCTCGTAGGGATCCACATAGATTCCTGGTGGAAGACGAGTTCTGGCTGCCACTGCACATCCTCCTGCATCCTTCCCCAATACACCAAGTTCTACCTTCACCAGCAGGTCCCTTCAAACAAGCAACAGAAGCAAAAATCTTTCTACCCATGCTTCAAAATATGGAGACATGCTCCCAAATGCACAGAGATCACAGAATCACAGAATCAGCTAGGTTGGAAAAGACCCTGAAGATCATCTAGTCCAACAGTTCACCTAGCACTGACAGTTCCCAACTCCACCAGATCCCTCAGCACTATGCCGTCCCTACTCTTAAACCACTCCAGGGATGGGGACTCCACCATGGCCCTGGGCAGCCCATTCCAACGTCCAACAACCCCTTCTGCAAAGAAATACTTCCTGACATCTAGTTTAAACTTTCCCAGGTGCAACTTGAGGCCATTCCCTCTGGTCCTGTCGCTTACTACTAGGTTAAAGAGGCTCAAACCCCCCTCTCTTCAACCTCCTGTCAGGTCTCCCCTCAGCCTCCTCTTCTCCAGACTAAACCCCCCAGTTCCCTCAGCCGCTCCCCAGCAGACCTGTGCTCCAGACCCTGCACCAGCTCCGTTGCCCTTCTCTGAACACACTCGAGTCATTCAATGGCCTTTTTGGGGTGAGGGGTCCAAAACTGAACCCACTCATCAAGGGGCAGCCTCACCAGTGCCGAGCACAGGGGTCAGATCCCTTCCCTGTCCCTGCTGGCCACGCTATTGCTGACACAAGCCAGGATGCCATTGGCCTTCTTGGCCACCTGGGCACACTGCTGGCTCCTGTTCAGGAGGCTGTCAATCAAACCCCCCAGGTCCCTCTCTGACTGGCGAAGATGAGATGCAGCTCTCACATGCTCTATGTGACAAACTCAGAAAGCAGTTCTGTGCCAAGCCATGCCGTCCTTCTCCACTCAGGATGATGTAGTTCACTCTAACTCAACATACACGATCAAAATGAAGTTTCACTTCTTTGTTAACTTCTCAGAACCACCAACAGCCTCCACACAGATCTTAGAAAGAGGCCTCTTGCTCCTCCTACATTATAGCTTGTAATTGTTAATTACTTGATCATGCTAATACATTCCTAGTGCCTACCCATGCCTACAGATCACGGCTCAGTGATCTGATACAACTGTGCACGAATTAGAAGAGAAGCTTCTTCATATGTAAAATGACTAGACGAGTTATTCTGTCGCGCCAGGGTGACAGCTCACCTGTGAAACCCCTCTTTCAGAAGCTCCTGCGTGACACTGGCATCCTGACAAGCAGCCTGCACATCTAAGATAACAGAACAAACGAGTAACAGTGTTTACAGAATAGGATGCATAATTACCACATAGGCAGACAACTTTAACAAGCAAAGTCATATAACCTATGAACACATCACCTGCAAAACCTCTCACAGCAGAAGGGAAACAGCATTGCACTGCGATCAACAGCAGAAGAGGTTTCTTAGGTCACGGAGCCCTGCTTCCCAAACCCAGAACCCAGCCCTACAAACGAGCAGGCACACACCGCTCCACACCCGTGTAAATAAACATTTACAAGATGAAAGCCCGAACAACAAGGCTCGGACCGTGTGTCAGTACAACGCGAACCCAGGCGCTCCTGCGTGAATTAAGCGGCGGCGGAGGCCGTTTGCCCCGCACTGATGTTTACTGACACAGCCAGGCTGTTTCTCATCACCCGGCCGCCTTCACTCAGCCCCGGTCCCGCAGCAGCGGGAAGCGCAGGGAGCCGCCCGCGGGCCCGGTTTGCCCCGACCCCTCCGCCAGGCCGGGCCAGCACTTACGGAGGACGCAGAGGAGTGCGGCCAGCCCGGCACGGAGCAGCGCCGCCGCCCGCCGCCGCCAGCCC